TAATTTTTTTTGCCGACTTCTGCCGCGTATTTTGAGCCCCCGATTTGACCAGTGCAACAGCCATTAAAACAAGACAATTAAGATTTCAGCAACATCCTGAGGGTGGGTGGTAGTATCGAAGTTATGAAGTTTATGACCTCGTAAGCTCACCTGCACATAGACACTGAAATAACTACTGATTTCAAACGAATACCCATGCAACTTCACTGACGAATGATCAAACCTTACATATTGGTTACAGAATGAAGCTAAAACTGCGAACACATTTATTTTTATGGTTTAGTCAATAACCATCCAATTACGACGAAGAGTTCGATGAGCGAACTAACCCATAGACACAGCCCACTGAGTTTCTCGCCGGATCTTCTCAGTAGGTTGCCATTCTGATCCGGTGATAGATTCTTTGAAGCGCTGCTAGGGATAGCGTTAGGACACTCTCTCAGGTTGGGCCCCGTGAGCTCACCTACCAGATACAGCGTAGCTGGAATAGTCTCATAGGCTACCAGCGAATAGATAGGGAAGAAAAAAATGGCACGGCGACTCTGACAAAAGCACGAGCATAATTGTTAAGCGCCTAAATGTTGTCTATGAGAAAAACAATCTCATATAACCGAATGCCAATTTTGGATCTCCCCCTGTTTTATTAGAACTGGTAATTTATGCTTGTGTGACACGATCAATTAGACCCAGATCCGGATTACCAAATTTATTTATTTATTGATTTAGTCTACTTAAAAATTAACAGTATAAACCAAAACATTTGTAAGGTATTAATATAATTAGCTTAAGTAATTTTTAACAACAACAATAAATCGCTGCAAACCATCATGGAATATATCCATTTCCGGAGCATAGGCTAGCAAGCCATTGAGTAGCGAGACAGCACGATGTGTCGGAGAGCTAGTTAATATCTTCAAAAATATGCTAACTTTGATCACGAATGGAACTCGGATTCCATGCTACAATATGAAAAGAAACTTCAGTGAAAGATTTTACATAAAAACAGAGGTATTCCGTGAACTGGTTAATAAGTAATAACACTGCAAATTAATAATACATTTAGTATCGTATTATTCTATAAAACGAGTAAGAACGGAACTATCTATCTTGGCAATCAAAAACGAATCAACTCTTAATTAAGTTTAAAATTTACTACAGGAAAGCAATTGTAAAAGACTGCTTTCGGTTATCGAATGTATATTCTTCTCTGGGGTCCACATATCAAGTCCCTGAGCCTGGAAGTATTCATATTACTGGTGATAGGACCTCTTGTGAGTCCGCACGGATAGTTACTACCACCCTGCCTATTTCTGCCGTGAAGCAGTAATGCGTTTCGGTTTGAAGGGTCGGGCAGCCGTTGTAACTATACTGAGACCTTAGAACTTATCTCAAGGTGGGTGGCGCATTTACGTTGTAGATGTCTATGAGCTCGTCTACACATCTAAGCAATAAATAAAAAATAAATAAATCTTTTATCAGATATGTGAACAAGTTGAGAATTAGCTGTTAACCTTAAAATAACAATTAAACGTCTAGAACAGTCTCGCCAGGTAATCCGGTACGGTTAAAAGGCAACGCGCAATTAAAAACGAACGCTCACCTTCAATACTGAAAATATCGACAATTGCTACTTAACAAATTTTACATAACAACAGTAGGTCTTTCTCTAACAAAGTATCTCTACCAATTGCCAGACATTTAAAATATAATCTACTAGCGGCCACTCCGGCTCGGCTCGGGTCTTTAACAAAAATTTCAACGATATTTAACTTTTTTTTTTGTTTTTTAAATAAAGTAATACTTATTGCGGCATAACTATAATAGCTAGACATATGCTGTCGCGACACTTTTTGTAAATAATAATGTGTTCTACAAAGTCGTAGTACATTAATTTATTCTATCATTAATAGTTTTCGCAGGGCACGCAATGTAAAGAATATTTTAGGTAATTTTTTAACACCTTGGGTTACATTAATGGAGATTTCGTATGGATCTCTAATTTTTTCCAAAAAAAATTTTTTTTTATTTTTTTTTTTATTGCTAAAATGAGTGGACGAGCTCACAGCCCACCTGGTGTTAAGTGGTTACTGGAGCCCATAGACATCCACAACGTAAATGCGCCACCCACCGTCCCAAGTATAGTTACAACGGCTGCCCCGCCCTTCAAACCGAAACGCATTACTGCTTCACGGCAGAAATAGGCAGGGCGGTGGTACTCACCCGCGCGGACTCACAACAGGTCCTACCACCAGTAAAAATATAGATTATAGTCTATGTCACTCGGGTAGCTTCCAAACAGTGAAAGAATTTTTCAAATCCGTTCCGTAGTTTCGGAGCCTATTCAATTCCATCAAACAAATATTTCCTCCTTATAATATTAGTATAGATCTATCGCTGACAATAGATTCTAAATTCATTTTTTTTCTTTAATTGGAATCATTTTCTCCATTCGTTCATTTGTTTATTTATCAGGGTTTTGTTTTCACTACATTACTGTATGTTTCATCGATATGGAAACGATAAAAATACGAGTGATTATGGAACACGAGTTCCGTGGCGGTAGCAATGGCGCACAAACTGCTCACAGCATTAACGACTTGTACGGAGTGAAGACCTGGTCGCCCTGTATACACTTGGCGATGCACCGTGGAGAATGAGATGAGGACTGCCAACGTGACCTGGAGTGGTGTCAAGGAGCAAGCGCAAGACAGGGTAAAGTGGAGACAACTTGTGAGGGCCCTATGTACCAGCGAGGTACCCTAGGACTACAACAACAACAACAACGGAGTGAATACTACAAATGAATGCACAACTCGTTATTGGTTCGAACGCTTTCGACAAGGAAAAGCTTATTTAAAAAATGGTTGTCCGAAAACTAAAGTCGACAACTTTTTTTTTCCTACTATACCGATAACCTTGAGAGGCTATTTCAGCTCCGCCCTAACGTGTAGATGAGCTCACGGAGCTCAAACCTGATGACGTTGCTAACACTGGCCCTAACAAGAGCAGCGCTTCGCAGAATCTACCACCGGATCGGAAACGCGACCCACTGAGAAGATCCGACGAGAAACTCAGTGGGCAGTCGACATAGAAGAGTTAAAGGCGACAGTGGAAACTGACGATGCTCAATATACTGGTGAGCTAGTAGCAGCTTTCATAGTTAGCCTTTTTTCCCTATTACTAGTCACTTCGGAGGCTAGTTTTAGCTTCACCGGACGTGCTGACAGTCACAGAAACGATGGGATTTTGCAGAGCTTTTGAAAAGCTTTTTTGTGAAGAGTTTTACTTGACTATAGATATTTTTACATGAGATCTTGTTATTTCTATATCACTATGCATTATCGGATTATGTTATTATAGTTAAATCCCTCCCTTATATTTGCCCTATTTACTCGTTGTAAGGAATAAGATGAGCAGCATAATTCGATCGATCTATAGCGTGCTCTAAAGGGTCAGGTATCTGTTTCCAAAGCAGCCACTGAGTAGGTATAAGGTCTTAATAAAATTGGGAGGCGGATTTTCAGATTGTGAGGTTCGGTAGCCCAATGCCCGTCTATTTATAATTAATATAGAAAGGGAATGAAAAAATAGGGTTGACCCAGTAACTTTTTTTTAGATTAATTGAGTTGATCCACGATGCTATGCCCCCAGCAGAGGATAGGCAGAGCTGACGCAGGGTAATCCAGGGGAAGGTAATTAAGGGAGGCCACGACGAAGACGAGAAAAGCCAGATAATATCAAGTTATCAATTTGATTATGTCTACTAATAGACATTTCTAATTTATGAAAATTATGTACTGAAGTAACAGTTCTTTTAATACATGCAACCGAAATTATAACAGATTTACTGGTGGTAGGACGTCTCGTGAGTCCGCACGGATAGGTACCACCACCCTTTTTGCGGTAGGCAGCGGCTTGGGTATGCCCCTGGCATTGCTGAAGTCCATCGGCGACGGTAACCACTCACCATCAGGTGGGCCGTATGCTCGTCTGCCTACATGGGCAATTAAAAAAAAAACTCCGCCTATTTTTGCCGTGAAGCAGTAATGCGTTTCCGTTTGAAGGGCAGCTGTTGTAACTGTAACTATACTGAGACCTAAGAACTTATATCTCAAGGTGGGTGGCGGCATTTATGTTGAAGATGTCCATGGGCTCCAGTAACCACATAAAACCTGGAGGGCAGTGAGCTCGTCCACGCATCTAAGCAATAAAAAAAAAAGATTGATTTACGTGGTTTTTTTACACACGTGCTATTTTAAGTTCTTGTGTTAATAATTTTCGGAATAAATTTAATTAATTTTCTTTCAAATAAACTAGGATTCACTTATCGGTTATTAAAAGTAAGATATTTAAAATTATATTTTATATACGTCTAGCTGACCCGGTAAACTTAGTAGTGCCTCAATCGATAAGTAAAAGACCTAAGCTTTTGTATAAAATAAATTTAAAACAAACAAAAGGCATCCGTCCGACGGGGCACACGTCAAAGGAAAAACAAAATTGTTATTTTTATTTAATTCCGAGCATTTTCATATTTATCTACCTTTTATAAACCTTCTCTGGACTTCCACAAATAATTCAAGACCAGCCGGTCCAGCTAGCTGTTCTCGGGTTTTAGCGAGACTAACGAACAGCAATTCATTTTTATATATAAAGATTGTTATATTGATATTTCGTTATTTACGAATAAGGAGATAGCCTTGTAAAAAATGGCGTAAATAGATTTACTTCAATCGACTTAAGATTTAGACTCTTATGACGTGTTGTTTATATATTAAATAAACGTGATAGCTTGAACTTATTTACAAAATTTTCAGGCTAACTTTTCTTCGGCATATTTTTCAAATATATATTTAAGACTCGAATTCTTTTGTCGCTTGACTAAGATTATATTGGAGCAAAATCATTTTGTACCGAAAAAGGAATACGTTTGTCTATCATTTCTAACTGTTAATATTTTTACCGATTTTTTAAGTAATTACATTTAAAAATGTACTCACCAATATTGGCTATAATTGTTAATTTCATAACACAAAAAAATTTATTTAAATCACTCACAATCAAACATGATACTACTACACTATAATTAAATCGATTTCAGCACAACACTATCACAGTTAACATAGTATCGAGTGACAAATATCGATCGTACAGCTGACGAACGCGTGCTAACTTGAAGCGCGTACGCCGTAAACTGATCAAGCTTTCGACGCAAGCTTTGCTATTGAACTTGCCAAAGCTCCATTTCGCACTAAAGGATTTCGTTAGATTTATCGACCGACTAGATTTCTGTTTATAAATATAAATTTTATTGCGAGAGTTTGTTTGTGTATCTATTATAATTGAACATTCTTTTCAATGCTCTCAATCATAACGGATTTTTTTTTATTGCTTAGATGTGCGAACGAGCTCGCAGCCCACCTGGTGTTAAGTGGTTACTGGAGCCCATAGACATCTACAACGTAAATGCGCCACCCACCTTGAGATATAAGTTCTAAGGTCTCAAGTATAGTTACAACGGCTGCCCCACCCTTCAAACCGAAACGCATTACAGCTTCACGGCAGAAATAGGCAGGGTGGTGGTACCCACCCACGCGGACTCACAAGAGGTTTTTTTTTTTTTTTATTGCTTAGATGGATGGACGAGCTCACAGCCCACCTGGTGTTAAGTGGTTACTGGAGCCCATAGACATCTACAACGTAAATGCGTCACCCACCTTGAGATATAAGTTCTAAGATCTCAGTATAGTTACAACGGCTGCCCTACCCTTCAGACCGAAACGCATTACTGCTTCACGGCAGAAATAGGCGGGGCGGTGGTACCTACCCGCGCGGACTCACAAGATATCTACGAAAAATATTCAAATTATATCAAAAAGATTTTTTAAATAATGTTGATATATATAATTTTGTTTGTATATTGATGTTTCTCACGTGTTACATAATATTATTTTTCAATTTCTATTAATAGTGTAGCAATTAATAATTACATTATCAATGCAAGAGTTATTATGATACGAATACGTAAAATAAGTGTTTCGTTCAAGAGATTTAACAACATAATTACATAACAGAGAGCAGCGCGTGGGAACTTGGTGTTTAATACAGACTATTTCATTTTACTATTGTTAATGTCACATTTTCACAGTGAATAATAGTTAATTGACATTAAAAATAGTAACGTAACAGTATAAGAATACTGAGTGATTTAAGGTCTAAACTATTTGGTAGAAGAGCAGTATTCAATTTTTTAATAAATATTATAATAATAGAAATAAATGTACTGATTTGTATTCTTTTTTGTTACAATAATTTGAGAGGGAAAGGAATTGTTTGAGATGATCCCTTCAGTTCCTTTTTATCAACGCACCTCCCGCCATCGGAGCAGAGTTCATCCATATTATCTGGAACCGTTGCGTTCATCGACAGTGCGTTTCCAGAGGTATTTTTGCCACGTGCCATCCGGCTATGGAATGAGCTCCTCTCCACGGTGTTTCCCGAGCGCTATGACATGTCTTTCTTCAAAAGGGGCTTGTATTAAGCGGTAGGCAGCTTGGCTCTGCCCCTGGCATTGCTGAAGTCCATGGGCGACGGTAACCACTCACCATCCGGTGGGCCGTATGCTCGTCTGCCTACAAAGGCAATTAAAAAAAACTCAGAATGCTTCTTTTGCAAGGGATATATGTATGTATTTGACTTTTTTGCAAAGGAATTGTTCATTAAGAAATAAACGTCTTCTACTACAGTAGAATGCAAAAAGATTGTGAGCAACAAAGTCAACATAAGTAGAATTGCAAGGGGCATCTTATTAGCGTATTAGAAAATTATTCGAAAAATCGTTACTGATCCAATAATGAGACCTATTATTGTGATATCGATAGAGGTGATGGATGATGAAAGAATAATTATTTTTCTGTATTGTTGATCGGAATTTAGAAATTTCAATTTTAATGGCTCTTTACGAAACCAAAAAATCTGAGTAGATAAATAAATAAATAATTGTGGATATATCACACACGGCTATTTGGTTCCAAATCAGGAGTTCCTGTTCTACAAATGTCAGAAATGGATACACTTACCAATTGCGTTTATATACATACATATACAAACATCAAATACTACGGCACTGAGCGACAATAATAGGACTGTCCGTCATAAGAATTGTTACCCATAGCGGGAATCGAACCCATGAACTTTGACCAGCAACCAGCGGTGTTATTTGTAGATTTAGAAGAGATTGAGATAGGCCGTTCTTAAAACTCAATTATACAAGATCATCCCAAATTGCCCTTCAAGATAGTTTTTTTATCCTACATCTTCTAGTAGCCTGGAGGGATTATTCTAGATTCGTCGATCTTGTAGGTGAGCTCACGGGGCTCAAACCTGACGACGTTGCTAACACTAGCCTTAGCAAGAGCCATGCTTCGCAGAATCTACCAACGGATCGGAAACGCGACCCACTGAGAAGATCCGGCGAGAAACTCAGTGGGCTATGTCTGTGGGCTAATTTACTAGTCGAGCCCTTCATCGTAAGTGACGGGTTCGACGAGAACGATGACCGTTTCTTGAGGACAAGATTGAAAGAAATAGCTGAGCGTAACATAAGCAGGTAAAGCCGCCAAAATTATTTGGTAAGCGAAATCTGTATCCGTAACGATTGGCCCTGAACAAAATTATCATTTTCACTATCCGACCCACCGCTGTGTTTAAACTATCTGCGAATGTAGAATAGGATCTAAAGTATTTTGATCCAGAATGTCTTTTTTCCAATAGGCATTCGCACGTTACTAATATTAAATTGGAACCGCATGGAAAAAATCTAAGAATATAGTATATCTATATATTAATACGTGAAGCAAAAACTTTGTATCTCTTTTAACGAAAATTGCGCGGACGGAGGAGTATGAAATTTTCCACACTTATAGAGAATGTAGAGAAGAAGTGCACAATGCTAATTTTTTTTTTAAATAATGCATAAAAGATACATTAAACCAATAAAGAAAACACACACTATATACCATGTATTTGACGCACACACGCATGCATACTATTTATTTATTGTCAAACTTTTGTTCTTGACGTCTGTTGTCAAATTGAGAATAGATTAAATATTGTTTGTCTTTATTAATATTTTTTTATCGTGTAGTCTTGGTGAAATTTGTGATTATAAAAGTATAAAATACAACCATAATAGTGTACAAACTTACAATTCCAATTAATTATAGTCGAATTTCGACTACTGCGGGACCTCTAGTATTTAAATAATGCGTATAATCGCATCGCTCCATACGAATATAAATACCAAGCACCTTTCCTGTTTTATTTTTTATTTTTTTTATTACTTAGATGGGTGGACGAACTCACAGTCCACCTGGTGTTAAGTGGTTACTGGAGCCCATGGATATCTACAACGTAAAATGCGCCACCCACCTTGAGATATGAGCTCCAAGGTCTCAAGTATAGCTACAGCTACTTACAGCTGTTAGGCTACGCACGCTTATAGTAAATTTAGTTAAACTGGGATCGCAATTACCGAGGGAGCTAATCAAGGGAAAAGTCAGGATAATACGAAATTCAATACCAATTTGCCGGTTTTTCTAATATCTTTAACCTCATGGAGATCTAATTGCTTTAATTTATGGGTACTCAGGTTTTTAGTGTGGGAGCATACATGATTCTATACGATTTGGGATAAGATTTCATATTTTACGGTAGCTATCAGCATTATTTGTAGGGATGTCTCTGGGCTTCAGTATCTATCATACACCAAGCGCGTATTAAGTCGTCTATGAAGATTTTTTTTTATCTAAACAAACGTTAAGTGGAGTAGCCTCTGATACATTTTCCCTAGGGACCGCAAAATGACACATGCCTAGTTGAAATTCTTTCTGTATTCGACATCAGGTCCAAGTCAATAAATAATAGCGAATTTAAATTTAATTTAAAAATCGTATAGTATAATCAACAATCAACAATCGTGGCTACAGCGGCCAAACGCGCAAGATGTCCTGCCCACTGTGACTTCAAGTTGACAATCCTTTGGGCTACGTCGATATCTCGGTTCTCCTGCGAATCGCCTCTTTTAGAAAAATCGCAGGTTAACTACGAGGACAGTCCATTGTTTTTTGGGTTATCTTGAATCTTCTGATAAGGCCATTGTGAGCGACCACGTCTATGTGTCATTTATCATCACCGGCAACACACACTGGTCAAAGACTTACATCTTGAGATGGTTATTTAGGACAATCTAGAACGACTCAGGCAATTTTAATTCGTTTTATAAGTTACATTGTTACTTTGTTAAATTGTTACTAAGGCACATAGATAACACGACTGGAAGACAGCTTAAGACTTTAAATTATTTCATATTATTTTTAAATACAATTGTATTAAATCTCACTATTTAATACGAAACGAATACTTACGGTACACCTTCAATCATGTACAGTTACAGTAAATACCAGTGTTTCCCGAGCGCTATGACATATCCTTCTTCAAAAAAAACTTTTACTGGTGGTAGGACCTCTTGTGAGTCCGCGCGGTCGGGTACCACCACCCTGCCTATTTCTGCCGTGAAGCAGTAATGCGTTTCGGTTTGAAGGGTGGGGCAGCCGTCGTAACGATACTTGAGACCTTAGAACTTATATCTCAAGGTGGGTGGCGCATTTATGTCGTAAACGTCTATGGGCACTAATAACCACTTAACACCAGGTGGGCTGTGAGCTCGTCCACACATCTAGCAATAAAAAAAAATTAAAAAAAATAAAAAACTTGTGGAGAGTACTTAACAGTAGGCAGCGGCTTGGCTCTGCCCCTGACATTGCTGAAGTCCATGGGTGACGGTAACCACTTACCATCAAGAGGGCCGCATGATCGTCTGCCTACAAGGCCCATTAAAAAAAAACAACCTAATTACCTATCACGGTAACCGCTGTTAGCTCATGAACTGGACCAGCTATCGGTACTTTTGATGTCTCAACGATGAATTTGTCAGCACAGCGAAGTTATGTCGTCGTGTTGGTGGTAAACATGAATAATTTATTGATGTAGATCTAAACGGATTATTTTTATTGTAATGTTTTTTTTATTATTACTTGAAAT